CATGCGCCTCTGAAGCGTATGGTTATCTTTTACGTACGTTGTCATATGGTTATCTTTCTAGGGTTAATGTGTGAACAAATAAAATAAACTACGCATTATATTTTGGAATGTGATACAATAACCTTTTAGAGGTGACCGACGGTCACCACTCGACTCCCAAAATTGATGTTTACATGGCGCTTTTCGTGGATTCGGCAATTTCAAGCCCGCCGTCTTAGGACTCCCTGGAACAGCGAAAAGAACGCGAGACGTACAGGTGTCCCCCCGGTTGGCTGAAGGGCGGCTCGCGAACAAGATGGCGCGACAGTCACAATCGAAATCGAACTAATTTCATAATCCCCGGCTCTCCCTGCAGTCCTCGACTCCAATTACGGTCTCTCCCCTGGCTTCGCCGGGCGTTCCCAAGATCCGAAAAAAATCTCGAAGTGGAGGGAGCTTATCAAGCTCTCCCTATTCTCAGGCGGAGGAGCCATAGAGTGCGGCTGCTGCTTTAGAGCGTGCAGAAAAGAGGATGGCGAGAAGCACGCTGCCTCCGCCTGGAGCGGCGCACGAGTGTGCAAGAAAGAGGACAAAGAGAACGTGGCGAGGAGGGAGAGCGGAGTAGTTGTAGAAAAGGCTGATAGATCATGTCGCGAGGGTTGGCGGAGGGCGTCCGGCAACTGCGTCGGTAACGAGGAACGGCAGCGACGTCGGCGGCAGTAGAAGCGACACTCGCTACGTGTGCACACACACACACACCATGGACCCTGCTCCGTCCGTTCCGGTATATTCTCCTTTTTCGTCCCCTTCTTTCGCTCGTCGAGCATCTTCCGCGCGGTCTAGCCATATTTCTTCGTACGTTACCATTTATCTCGTTTCGTTCGTACGCTCTGTTCGCGAAATCAGTTCGTCTCTCTTTTTCGCGCATGGCCCGCCGACTCCGACTCGTCCCGCTCGCTTGCTCCTCTCCGGAAGCCTCTCTCCGCCGCCTTTCTCTCTCTCTCTCTTTCTTTCTCTTTCTCCTTCCTTCTCCTTGCTTTTCTCTCTCTCTCCTCTCTCGCTCTCTCTTTTTTCTCTATGCTCTATGCCCGTCTCGCGCCCTATCTTGCTCTCGCTCGCTTGGGCGCGCGGGACCGGCCGATACTCTACCCGTTTACAATGTTGCCGCGTCTGGACACGCGGCACCGTCGCGAACCCAGGGGCGTATGCAGCCCGTTAGAGCCACTTCACGGATTCGTCGCGTGCTTCACGATTTGTAACGCCTGCGCTCGCGCGGCTAATTGAATCGCTCCGCCGGCAGAGCGAGAGAGAAACAGAGAGGGAGCCGGAGAGGCAGGCAGAGAGACCGAGGCGAGTTTCTTCCGTGAAGTCTCGACCGCTCCGTACACGGACCGGTCTCTTGTTCCGACGCGACGTGTCGTCTTGGATGGATCGTTGGAATCGGCTTGGTGCGATACTATCGCGAGATCTGTACCGGTCTCGTATGATTAAAATTAGTAAACGAGGGAGGAGCGCAGGCTGGAAGTCTTATTATTTCACGCCTGGACGATCGATCGGATGGGTTCATGATTTACTTAATACGCTTCGTATACTGATACGATCGTTTGAGTGACACGGGAAACTTTTTATTTCGATCGTTAATTCGGAATGAACGAACGGTTTTGACGGTTTCATCGTTGAGAGAGAGATGCGGCTGGATTTTAGAACTTTACCGAGATCATCGATATTCTTACTGGGGATGCAATGCGAATAGATAATAACTTGATCCAGCTACTAGAAAGCTAAAATTTAGTTGGAATGTATTGCTGCTCTGGGTCTAGTTCGACTTAAATTTGGTCATCCAATGATTCAAACTGGAGATCACGATTCAAACCAATATAAACTACATTATAAGCAATATTCCATTTTGAATGTATCATTACGTTCGACCGAGGATCATTCGATAGGACTCGTTTAACCCCTTAATGCACAATTTTAAAAAAAAAACCGACCAAAAAAAATCAATTTTTTTTATCTAAGAAAATACATATTTGGACCTTAATTTCAATAAATATGTAAAAAAAATGCAAAAATTACTAAAAATTCAATAAAAATAGTGGATAAATAGTTATAGTGAATATTGAATCGCATTGCAGATCGAATTTTGTACCCATCGTGCTGTTTTTCAATTAATATAGGTAACATAACATAAGTTGCGACGCCGACCGTATATATACGGGTCTGCACATTTTGGCCGGTTTTGCACGCCCGTGTTAATACGTTTCTGCGCGTTAAGGGGTTAATGACCATACCGTCATTGATGCTTCCCTTTCCGGAGAGATTTGTTTTGTTCTGGACCTCCAAAAATATAAGAGGCGTAGAATGACTAGGAAAAATCGAGGAAACCTTCGATCTTCCCTTTTCCTAGGTGGATCTAGCAGCTCCGTCTTTAACACGTTGAATGCCACGGGGGTCACCGGTGACCGGCACTTAACTTGGCGGTGACACCATGGGGGCCACCGGTGACCGGCGCGCCCAAATTGATAGGAATATATATAATGTAAAACAAATGTCAATATTTAAAATTTTGTATTATTACCATCGTCGATTCAAACAGTGACCCTTGTCGCAATTAGCATGTCAAACATGATTATACACTGTAACTCATCTATTGCAGATAATATTTCAACATTATATGTGTCACGTAAAAGTAAATTCATCGTGGCGCCACGGACAATTTCTGTAAAACCGGCGTGGCATTCAACGTGTTGAACTACTAAATCTGCCAATAATCTAATACTCTCATCACCGAACTAATTGCTCGCATGCATCAGCGCGTGAAGATCGTATGGAACGCTGAACGTTTCTCCGTCTACCTAATCCAAAGAAAACGAAGAATCTGTCGCCTGACGAACGTCGTTCCGCTAATTGAATTATCCAAATATCCAATAAGGTTGACATTAAAAAATCTAGTAACGCCTACGGTGTCTCGGAACGTTATCATCGGATACACGTGTCCGAGTTCTTTTGATGTTACAATCCTTTGTGCGAGCGGTCCAGCAGCGTATGATCGTTTTCCGAGGCGGAACTGGCCGGTCTCGTGGGCGAGTGAGTAACGGTTAAAGTTCATTTACATTTTCTGGCGAAAATGCGCCGGTCTTGACAGGGTCGCGAGACCGAGCCAGTAGGAAGAGAAACGGAACGAAGGACAACAGTAGTTGGCAGCGTGCACATCGAACGTTTCTGGAGCGTCAGATGCTGCGTGGCCGGCCTCTACGTGGGCGTCGCCACTTCGTAACAGTTTATCGGAACACGAAACCACGTTACTCGACTCGATAAATAAATCCAAGGTTTATTTGGCCGCGTCGATAAAGCGGCTCGAAAACGCGACCGACTGGCGCACCTTGCATCGTTGCGACGTCTATTTGCCGTTGCGCTCAGGAAACAATGGACAACCGATGTAACAACGAATGTTGGGCAAACGACGCTCGTATACATTGTCCTGTTACGTTACCAATAAACGACACATCCGAATGACGGCGGAACGTCCGTCGCCGATACATCGAGGACAGCGATCTAACTTTCATCGACCGATGTCGCGCCGTTTGACGGAAAGCCACGTGAAGGCGCACTTTCTGTGAGTGGTGATATTTTTTGTTCACAATACCTAGCAATTACCCAGCATATAATACGTTGAAATGGTTTCGTTAGCTGTAAGCATGAAAAGTAAATCTACAAGAGTGCAGATCATTGAGCAAATTCAGATAATTAAAGGCCATTAGAATCGGGATAGGTCTTTAACGCTAAACATAAAGTCCTAAACATGACTGTAGCGTGCGAATTTTTATTATAATGTAAGGTTGGATTAAGGAACTTGTTCAATCTCTTCCTTCGAAAGGGACTTTACGATTTCAACAACCATGAAATGCAGAATACGAAACTGGTCATTTTGACCGGCACGGTAGATTTACTGTTAACGACGTTTTACTGTACCAATGATTAAAAGCTCGGTAAGGTCGTATTCGACATATACAATCTATAAATAAATTATATACTAATATAATTAGTAAACAACGGATGTTATACATTTTTGATAAAAACGGAAGAAATGAAAACAAAATTGTAAAAAGATTGTAACGATTTAATAATATTATTACATTATTCTTGAAGTATTAAAATCGTCGAAACAAGAAATACATTTTCATCTTACTTCTATTGTTTACTATCGACTCGGAAATATTTGATTTTGCTTAAAAATCCGTAGTCCACTAATTAGTTATTAGATTCTCACCGCTTTTTAGTCTCTTTACTGTTTTAGTCTCTTACTCTTTTAGTCTCTTTACGCAGGCTCCATTAAAAGAAGCAAGTTTTCTTTGAAATCAGGTTCCTTTTTGAAATCAGGTTCCTTTTTGAAATCAGCTGTTCGATATCAGCAATCTTGAGCCTAATAGCGAACGATCTAGAGCAGGAAAATGGATCCAGGGGCTGAAGTGTTCCGAAACCCCTGCAGCGACTAGGAAAATCTCGGCTATCCTTAGAAACGATCGGGAAGTGTCCCGGAGTTTCTCGGCGGTACTTTTGCAGCTGTAGCGAGCTCGCAGCGAGTAATCGCACGGGGATTTCGACGCAACGGTACGGTGGATCGTTTACGTGGGCGGTTCTATTGGTAGCAGAGTGTTTCTTCTCTCGTAGGTTCGTCTCGGGACACGAGAGGAACGCGCATATCGCATCGGCGGGCCGTAGAAATGAGTTGAATGCAAGCGCGCGCTCGCCTCGTGCCGGATACCCTCGCGGGACTCGAGGCTTGCCGGGGCAATGAAAGCGGAGCAGCTAAATGAGTGCTTTCCACGCTACTGGATGATGGATGAATGCCTACACGTTTGCCTCCGTCGCTAGATAAGGAGACGAATGATTGCTATACGCGGCTGGTTTGCTCTAAACGCGCGCCGGGGGAATTGCTGCCCTCTCGGCGCGCGCTCGTATCCGCTCGGCCGGCCGTTGCAGTTGCAGTCGCAGTTGCAGCTGCAGCCGGCTGGCTGGCTGGTTTGCTTGCTACGAGGACGTGCCATGCCGCGCGACAAACCAGACGACGACAACGACGACAACGCCGCCTGTTCTTCCTCCTGCCTCCGTGCGACCGATGTCTCCTAGCAGTGGTAGCCGGTGTCGTTGTTACCACTTATCGCAAAAACTGATCCGACGCGGCCCCGAGCCACGCGAGTTGGCCCGTGGAATATGTTAGCGGAGCCGTTTAAGGGATACCCGGCTGACCGCCTCGGGGACCAGAAATCCTCCGGCTCTCCAGACAATCTCGGGGTGAGGATTCTCGCGGGTGCCTTTGTCGGACATCGCCGGTCTCACGCGATTCAACTGCTGCGATCGTGTAGGGGTGCGAGGCTAAGCCAACCCTCGCGACTAAGCTGCTTTTTCGGTGTTTCGAAGACTTTTGTGGTGGCAAAGTTCGTCGGTTCGAGGTTAAATTGGAAGGCTAACTGAAAACAAACGTGTGATCTCGCCAAGGTATTCTTTGAGTTACGCGATCCAGTATTATACAGCTGTACAACGTATTATACAGTATTAATCAACATTAAAATAAGATTAACGCAGCAACATTATACAGGAATGGAACGCTGGGTTTTGATTAGAAATAGCTGTAATTAACGTACAGCACTCGAGGACAAATTTGGTGAATTTCTTGCAGCTAACTTAAAATGCTTTCACACACAAATTAACGTATAAAACTTATACACCAAAGACGGAATTTTGTTAAACATTAAGCTCTATATCGTTGCTTTGTATGATATTTTAGAAAACAATTTCCAACACGCATCCTCGGCTTGTCGGGGCAAGTATCGCAATATGTGGTTTGGTGTCTTTCGCCAGGTCTATTCCGTTGACAGCAACCCTGACAATCCTTTCTAACTTCTGTTAGTACAACATGTAGCTTCCCATTTAATCGGATTTCATCAAAACTGTAGGTTGAATTAGAAACTCGATGTCGTGTCTGAGAAAAATCTCCTCTCAATTGGTCGACCAAAGTTTCTACATATTGCAGATGACTAAGCGGCCGTTCATTTCTCTGCTTCTTCACTGGTTTATAAAGGATATAAGAATTGATAGAACAGATCTCCAGACTCTAGAAAGTAGCTTTCGCAGCATTCACTCTATATTACCCAGATTTTTCGTCTTTTTACACCTCTTGCTTCATCACCACTCTCCTCATCGCTGCTTTGTTTCTCTCTATCGTCAAGTGTTATTATACATAGACGTAATTTCATTCTTCAACAACGAAAAACTTGAACTAATTTCATTACCACATTCCACGATTACAGGGCTCAAAAACTGTGAGAATAATATTCCTATCGCCACGAGACTGTCGAGGTCGAACTAACGCCGAAAACGGAATCCGAACCGCGATCACGGACTAATTTCAGATAAGTCTTAGAGTCATTTCAAAGGGTATCATTGGACACTTCATAAGATTATACACAAATAGCTTAGAGATACACCATATGAAGCGATAGTACCAGACCATGCTTCGGGTCCCAAAGAAACCAAACCCAAATAAACATCGTCGCTGCTCGAGTCACCGAGTAAAGCCAAGTGGTGATCGAGAGTCATCTTTCCAGTAGTGACTGAGAGTCACCGCTCAAGTGCAAAGGATTAACATGCCCGTGTTATAATCCGTGCGATTATTTGTACACGGATACACGTACATCGCATACACAGATAATAAAAGAGTACGCGGGTGCACGTATTGTACATTGAAATATACAGTGGTTTACATGTTATAAATATCTACCGAATAATACATATTTACGCAACTAATTTGTGACACGAAACGTCAATTGATTAGTTGCAAATTGTGAACAAACATAATCATTTCTATTAATATACCATAATCATTTAACTTTTTGTTTTGATGCAGAGAAACGCTGTGACAATATTTAGCCTCCAAAAAAGATCTTCAACTGTAAACTCGTGCGTCTCAGATTGTAATAAAACGTATGAGCAAACGCCAGTGAAAGCATAGCATTCTGAATCCTAAGTAAAACCTTTAACAGTTACTATAAAACCTATACTTAATGACTCAATGTAATGAAGATAGGTTAAATTACATCTACACATAGCCACATAGAGGTGTCGTGTCGCCCAGTGACTAGGTGGTTACATATACTTACTCATAAAATTAGGCGTACACCTTTTAAAATAATAATATAACCTTTTCAAAACTGGACTTTTAAACTGGACTTTAGATGATAGAGGGACTAGTCTACTGGACGATGACTAAAATTTCTAATTTTGCTATTACTTGGGATAACAAAAAAGAAATAAAAGTTAACCCAGAGTCGAGCTATATAGGTATTGACAGATTTTTAAAACTGCAGAATTCTTCCAGTTTCTGGTGAAAATCGTGATAAAACTGCGATTTTGCCATTTTTAATTCGTTGTAACTCAATACAATAACTTGATACAATTTTCTGCATGTATTTAAGTTATCGAGATCTACGAGAGGCATTCTTTAAATTTCCGTTATAGGCTCAGATAAAAAAGTTAAAAAACGAGCGTTTATTCCTTTTTTTGTCATTCCAAGTAATAACAAAATTTTTAAAAAAGCACTTCGATAATCGTCTAGTAGACTGGTATCGCTATCATCTAAAAAACAAAAATTCAAGTAACTTAGTCCAGTTTTAAAAAAGTTATCGCATTTTGGAAAGTGTACGCGCAATTTTGTGAATAACTGTACATATTTAGTGACTTACTCCAGGCGGAAGATTAGAATCCCAACAGATTTGTGGCTGCAAGTTTTTGGTCTCTACTTTAGTTGGCAGAAATGCTTTTATCGATACGATAAGACTCCTGTCGAAATTGTATACTGTCTGGAAGTCGATGTATTGGGTTGGCAACTAAGTAATTGCCGATTTGTTCAATGAAATAAAAAATTTTTTTTTCCTTGGAACGAAGTTTAATCTGTAATGTATTTTCCATTTTGTTCGATGACCTTTTGCCATCTCTCTGACAACTTGAAAATTCCACGCTCGTAGAGAGTCTGATTCTTTTCGGCCAAAAACTGAGTAAAGTGAGATTTTACAGCGTCTCATCGTTAAAAGTTTTACCACGAAGGGAGTTGTCCAGGGATCGAAATAAGTGGTAATCCGATGGCGCGAGATCAGGGCTATATGGTGGGTGTAACATCGATTCCCAACCAATATCCATCAATTTTTGCCGAGTGGACAAAGACGTGTGCGACCAATTCTCAAGAATCGACCAATTCTGGTCGCTTTTCCTTGACCGCTGCATTCAATTTGTCCAGTTGCTAACATTCACGGATAATAAAAAATAACATAATAATAATAATAATAATTTTATAATATAACATTTACGGATATCATAAAAATGGGAGTGAGAGACATCTATAACTAAAATCGGCAATTACTTAGTTGCCAACCCAATATATACACTTCGTCAATCGAAAGAGTTGAACGACACCAGAAATTTCGATTCGCTGTTGCGTAATCTCGAAATCAGAAGCGTATAATGAATCGATTGTGCGATCGTGTTAACCCTGTCAACGGCCGCGAGCTGAACCGTATGAATGGGTTCTTTCTTTTTTTCTGGCCGGGCGTCGCCGACTAGAAGAGAAAACGCTTTCACGGTAATTTGGCGGAGCGGAAGTTGCGATGAGGGGTCCTCGGGGAGGGTCAGTCGTGGAAATCGTTACGGCCGAGGCGATAGTCGGGTCCGGGCCCCGCTCGACGATGAAGGAAATACAATATTTATGTTGATGCCGCGCGCCAATGGGGCTCGGTATTTAAGTTGTGTAAATCCAATATAAACGCCAAACCTGTAATAAATAACCTCTTGGCTGGTTGGCCAAGGGAGGACTCACGGTTGGAGAGAAGAGATCGCGTCGGTGTCGGTGAGCGAGGCGGAGAAAGAAGGGCAGAAGCGCGATGGAAACGGGTGGGGAAGTGGAGAAGAACGACCGTCGGAGGTTATATTATACCTGCCTTGGGGCCTTCAGTCTTCGCCTTCGAGAACGAGATGAGAAAGCATCGGCTCTCTACCAGCGGAGGACTCCTCGGGAAGAACGGGAGAGAACGATAGAAGTAGGAGGAACGTAAGGTATCCTCGAAAAAGAGGGCGGAGGAGTTTTGACCCTTCGCTAACGGGACCCTTCCTCGCTTCTTTCTCGCTTATAACGCGAATCCGTCGACCCTCGGCCCAAATAATAGTGTTCGACCGGTGGGGCCCACATTGAAACGAGACACCTACGCTCCTCTCCTCTTCGACTCTGGTCACCGCTATTCCCCCTTTTATAGCTCCCTGCCACCACCCTCCTCCACCTGTACACTCGACTACTCCAGTTTCCGTGTTACGCAATAGGAAATCGAGGGAGAAGGCAGGTGCCATTCCTAGACAAGGTCGACGTCACTCATCCGAAGAACGAAGGAGCCGGTTGGTAGAAAATTAGGACAGCCCGGTCGTGACGAGCAAGGCTTTCATTCAGACACGGGTGATCGGAGTTGAAAGATCGACGCGATCACGATTTGTCATAACATTGCGCGCGTGTTCGATGCATTGCTATTTTTTTGTGGATGAAAGAGAAAATAGGCGGATGCCCTAACGAAATATCCAGTGATCGGTGACCACGAGTGAAATATCACGATCAGACAGCGGATCTTTAAGAAAAAGAAAAATTGCACGCATCTGTTGCAAGAATCAGGAGTCGCTTAAAGACTTCGCACTTTCTGGTATGATGGTATCCTTTAGTTTCTTTAGTGTTTCTAGTGTTTCCTACTACAGTCATCCGTTTATTTCTGTCATAAACGCATCAAGCCGCAATCTAATTATAACACTTCCGAACGTAATGAAAAAAGAAGCGAAAGTATGAGACCGTTGATGGAACAAATGTCACATAACAATAATCGAAACATACAAAATTGCTTGAAGCGAAACATACAACGAAACGAACAGTTTATCCAAAAAGTTTCAAGAGTAAGGAGAAGTAGGTTCGACGAAGCTCACTTCGCTAATTACAATGGAGCATACATTGGACAACAAGAAACAAATTATTATTTGAACATGGAGAAGTTACGTTTTCTTCATTTTAAATGAAACATCGAATCCGATGCTGTTCTCATCTAAATTCATCTAACGATGGTTTTTTATTCAAAAGTATGCGCATGACGAGTAACAAATGAGAAGCTTAATCTGAACTGTGAAAAAAGAAAGAAGTTAAAGCGTCGCGCTGAAACTTTTCTTACGAATGTCATCAATTTTGATGAGGAATATATTAAATTTTCTTCGACACTCATGTAACTCGTTGCATACCTTCCCTAAAATACAATTCGAAAATATTCGTCGACAAATGTTCAAACGATGCGGGTTACACGTTTAAGAGATGCGACCGTACAATTTAGGGGATAGCTTCTCTAGTGATAAATCTTGACTTGCCGTCTGATCCTCGGAAACGATTATCGAATAATCTAGCGATGCAATAGTATCTAACAGCGTGAAGGAAATCTCTACAGATATGCCCTGTCCTACCTAATTAACTACGCTTCCAAATGAATGTTCTTTTCTCCCGTCCAACCGGTCTTTCACGCATTTCCCAACCTACGAGGGACATTTTGAAGATTCCCATAATCGTAGCACAGCTCGGGCAATATATCATTTGGAATACCGTTACGAGCCTAAATAAAATGGTACTTGGGCCTTCACAAGAAAGAACAGAAGCGTTCCCTTCCATTACCAAGTCGAATCCCAGCGTATCTCGGAAAGATCCGAGCAGGGTTTTCGTTTCACGGCTTTCGATCGTGCAACCTTGACTCGAGAATACCGTTTGCACTGGCGGCGGCTGCTGTTGCTGTTACTGCTGCTGCTCTGTCGTCGATAACCTTGGTTTCGGTGCTCGCGAACCGATTTCGCAATCCCGCGTCACGAACGATCCAGTACGCGCCTAGGAGCGCGCCGATCCACGAGGCTGATCGCGGCCCCAGCCCCGTGTATTACCATTAGGCGAGTCGAGGTCGAGAGATCTAAAGGGAATGAAGAAAGAACCGGGGTGTGGCCGGCGAAATGCAATTACGCGAAAGCGTACCCGACTACGACAACAACGGCTTCTCTGCATCCTGGGTCCTGACCGTAGAATCCTTTAGGCTCGGTTATCAACGTTCACTGAATAACAATGTCGTCGCGATTAGCTGCTCGCTTCAGCCAGACGACTATTTTTAGGGCTCACTTATTCTTAGTCGAACTTGTGACGAATAATATATCGCAATAGTTTGCATTCGAGTTCTCGTTCAGGGCGTAGCGAACGAGAATTCAACGATTTAGGCAGAGATTCTGGAACTGAGTGCATACTCTGAAGTTATATCACGCGCCAACCCCGTTGTTTTCATTTCTGTGTTTCTAGAGATTCGTCGGGGGGTCTGTCAATTTGTTAGATAGAGTACATTTCTAACGATAATTGTTGTTCAGTTAGATATAGGTCTGTATTATTCGGTCTCGAATCCGTTCCAAAAACACCCACAAGATCTACCAAAATACTTCTAAGAATATCGATTAGCCCTAGAACGATCACCTGAGATCGCCTCGCCACAAAATCTTTAATTCGTCTGCAAACGTGTAAATAAATACTAAAGCATTGATATAATAGATACTATACATATAGTATATTACTATAATATATACATTATATAATATATTATATAATAATAATTATATATATAATTATAATTTAATATAATATAATAATATAATAATTATAAATGTAATTATATAATTATAATATAATAATTATAATATAATAATTATAAATATAA